GTCGCCGGTTCGGTCCTGGATTTCATGGCTAGCCTGTTCGGAGCCGTTTTTGAGGCGGAAGGGGCCGAGGGACGGCTCCCTGGTGCTCTGTCAGGCTCGTCCACGACTTGTACAACTTGGACAGCTCCTGTTGCCTCGCTGGGACCATCTGCGATGTTGCTAGAGGTCGGCACTCGAAAGAAGAAGGCTTGAACGTGAAGACTTTCCTCCATGCTAACTGAGTCGTATACGATACGGGCCCCTTCTTCTTTTCTGGTAAAGGACTTAGCTAGGGACGCCCTGGCGGCATCATTATCAATGAACGTCAAGAGGTCCGTCCCCTTAACGTAAGGGGCCCAAAGTTGGGGGCTGATGACCAGGGAATTTGCCTTTGGCGGAACGCATGACTCGACTGAAGAGGCAGCATGCAGAGCTTAAAGGCCTCGAGCTCGATGTCAAGACAGAACCGGGGAATGCGCTGGTTGATAGGATCAAAGCCATGCTAGATGCTTTGCAGATTGTGTCAGCAGAGAGGATGAAATCAATGGTGCCAAGGCTGAGTCCAAGTTGTCGCTATCCTCTGATGGCAGCATCAAAATCACGAAGCAGGCAGCTGACCTGCGCTGTGAAACGAGCGGAGAACTCCGCCTTAGGCAGTGCTACCTTCGACGAGCGCTCGCGTTCGACCAGATCGGGCTAGCCTCTTTCGTTGAGCAAGAGCGATGGCGCAATCGTTTGTTTCAGACATTGACGGATGCCCCGCCCAATGGGTACCGGTATGTCTCTGTCCAGCAAGTCCTTGCTGCCGATCAGTGTTTGTGGCATTGTGTCTCTCAGGAAAGTCGAGGGCGCCTGACGATTGCAGCAGGAATCGCCGCCCTTCGTCGCAGCTGCAGCCAAAAACCCGCTTGTGATAGCGTGTATGACACCTCTTCCCAAGCCTGTCGATTCAACGCCGCATCAGCCTAACGTGCCCAAAGGTCCCAAAGGCCCTGGGAAAGGGAACCAGGGCAAAGGAGGGAACCCGAAAGGCAAAGGCAAGGGATCAGATGATTCAGCTCAAGCCAACACTGCCTCTGCCAAAACTTCTTTGAAGGAGTTGTTGGATAACCTTCCTTCGGGGCCACAGAGGAAGGTCGTTTCTTGTGCCCTTTCTACAACAAGGGCATCTGCAGGTATCAGAAGAGGAAGTCATGCCGATTCGGGCGCCACGCGTGCTACTTCAAAGGCTGCCAGGCTGAGAGACCCTTCATCGAGTGTAAGCATTGACTCGGGGACCCTGATCCCCAGACCAATGCCACCGCATTGCACCTGTCCGCCGATGCTCTGCCTGAGCCGGAGGTTTTTGGCTAAGGCTCTCATGTCTCAGGTTGGTGGCATTCGGGCGGAGCAAATCCTTGAACTTTTTGACTTATTGCCTCAGGATGAGAATGACAGAGAGGAGCAGGGATTCTCGTTCTCGGCTGGGCCTTCGTGCGTGTAAAGGTAGGCCTGCGCAAGGCTTGCAAAGATTTTCCCTTGTCCATCAAGGCCATCAATTCTTTTGCCAGGTCCGTCGTGCCAACTGCTGTTTGGACCAGTTTTGCGTTTTGCTCGAAAGGGAGCAAACTTCTGAACACAAGGATACCGCCAATTCCGCATTGCCGAACATTTTAATCCCTGTCTCCTGCTTCTCTGGAGGGGAACTCTGTGTGCGTGGCCCGTCCGGGCAGGTTGACCTGGCGGTTGCAAAAGGCCCCGTGGCGTTTTGTGCCCCTGCCCCGTGACCCCGTGCTCAGCCTTTCGCCAGCACCTCGCCTGAACCCCCCTAGGATTCTGGACTTGCTCAAGGGCGCGCGAACGTCCCGATAATCTCCTGGGATTTCGTGATCTCCGAAAAGGTGAAGCTGCCCAGGTAGTGGCTGCAAATGAAGTCTATGAGTCGAGCGTTGAAATCTTGTTCCTTGCCTTCATCAGCGGGGCCATTGTCAGCATTGAGAACCCTAACAGAAGCTGGCTGTGGCCGATTTTGGCGCTTCTGGTGAAAAAGCGTGGTCCTCAAGCCTTCGTGGTCTGGTTTTTCCAGTTGCAGGATTATGTCTTTGACTCTTGTGTGTTTGGGGTCAAGAGACAGAAAAGCACTCGCGTCAAGGGCTCGCCCAAGGTTTTTGAAGGGTTGGATTTGCCGTGTGATTCCTCCCATGAGCACTTGGGCTGGCAGCCCTATTTGGTGGATGGTTCGTGGGTTTATGCCACAAAGGATGAAGCGGCTTACCCGCCTGGTTTGTGTAATTTCCTGTGCAAAACCTCAGCCACCTTGCAACACCCCCGCTTTCAAGTCACAGCGGTTAAAGCGTCCATGAACATGTGCTCGCAGGTGCGTGCATCAGCCTCAGTGCAAACAAAGCATGCTGCTCCGCTCATCCCTGAATTCCGGGCATGCGTGTTCCTGTCTCAAGTGCCTGAGGGTCATGCTTACAAGCTGCTTTCGCAACCGCCTGCCTCTAGGTGGGGGGAAGGTGCGGAGGCAGGCTTAGGAAGGCTGCAGAAGAAGAGGAAGGGAGTAGCAGGTCCTCCCAGTGCCAAGCCATCGCCTGGTCATGATCCGAGAGTGGGAGTCTATCATTCTATGGAGGAGCATGTTGCCATTGCTGAGACCCTGTGGTCTCCATTTGACGACTTCAGTGGGGTGCCTGACCAAGTCCTGTTCCGCATGCTGAATCGCGAAGCTGAGGTTGCAAGCCTTGCAAGACGTGAGTGCCCGCTTTAAGGAGCTGCAAGGAGTCGAGACATCCCTTCGTGCCAAGATGGACCTGACAAGGGGAAAGGCAATTGCCTTGTTCAGGTCTCTACTGGAGGAGACTGCGTTTCCAGATCTCTCTGTCGCGCAACTGCTTGAACAGGGAGCCCACCTTGTGGGAGATGAGCCGCATTGCCCTCTTTTCTCCAAACGGCCCAACCCCAATGAGCAGGAGCTGGAGGCCCTGGCCCCTTTTCGAAGGAAGTTGCTGGTTGAATCAAGGCAAGGTCGGGGCCCCGAAGATGTGGCCACCCTCCTGCGTGAATCTGCCGCTGAGGTTGAGGCAGGCTATCTCAAGGGTCCATTCCATTCCCAAGAGGAGGTTTCAGCAGAGGTGGGCACTGACTCATGGTCGCTGGCACCCAGATTTGCCCTCCGTCAAGGGGAGGACGCAAAAGTCAGAGTGATTGATGACTTCAAGATGTCAAGCGGTGAACCGGGCCTTCGGGTCCACCTCGTATCTCGCGCTACAGGACACTGACTTTACTGTGAGATTCGTAGGGCGCGTGTTGCAGGGGGGAACCCAGGTGGTTGTCCCGATGTCTGATGGCTCCGAGCTGAAGGGCACGCTATGTCCTGAGATGTTGGCCAGGCCACCCCTATTGGGGAAAACTCTCGCTGCTTCGAGACACCATGCCGTGTTGGGTTTTCCGACCACCAATCATGATTGGCACCTCTACACGGCGTTGTCGCTACCCTTCGGGGCCTCGGCGTCAGTGTTCAGTTTCAACAAGATTGCCCTTGCTCTGCTGCACATCATGATTCACAAGTTCCTGGCCATAGGAATTGACTTCTATGATGATTTCACTCTCTTCGAATTTCAGCCCGCGGCCTCGTTGCTTGATAAGGTCCTGATGCGATTGCTTTCCATACTGGGTTGGCTCTTCGCTACGGAGGGCAAGAAGTTCGTCCCTTTCTCGCCGTCTGTCATCTCCTTAGGGGTGTCGCTAGGCCTTAAGGATATTTGGACGAGGGTGGTGGCCGTTGGCAACAAGCCGGGGAGACTAGAGAAGATTGCCGAGATGCTGAAGGCTGTCATTGCTTCCGATCATGCCTCGAAGTCTCAATTGGCGTCTCTGCACGGCCTTGTGAACTTTGCCGGCGGTTACACTCTTGGATATCAGCTCAAGCCGACTGCCCGGATGCTTGCATTGGCGTTGTCGCGTGCCAGCCCGGGCACCACTGCCGATCTCCGGTCCTCTTGCGAGGTTGCCTTGACCTCCATTGCATTGGCGCGGCCGCGCATATGCCAGTCATCCTTGCAACCCCCTATTCTCCTTTACACAGATGGGGCTTACGAGGGGGGTGAAGGTACTTGGGGAGCCATTGTAATTGACCGTGCTCATCAATGCCGGTGGGGCATTCAGCGGACGGGTGCCAGCATCCCTCATGAAGCACTGGGGAGACATCACTGGAGAACAGTTGATTTGCCAGGTCGAGGCGTACGCTGTTGCCATTATGTTGTTCGCCCTGCGGGGGATGCTTACCGGGCGCTCCATTCTTGCGTTCATTGACAATGATCCTTGCAGGTTTGCTTTCATTAGGCGGTTTAGTCCCTCCCCCGCACTTATGGGTTTGGTTACTCTTGTTTCCATCCTTGAGGCTGCGAACGAGACCGCCATTTGGTATGAACGGGTCGCAAGCTCTGCAAACCCTTCCGACCTCCCGTCACGGGACGCTGTGGCCGAAGCCTGCCGGCGTTTTGGTTGCGAAGATAAAGGTGATGTGGCTATCACGGCCGAAATGCAACGGTTCTTGACATCACGCCTTTACGTTCCAGAGCTGGGAGCTGCCATAGCTGAGGCAGTACGCGCGGAAGCAGACTTGTGGAAGGACCTCACTCCTGCGTAGGGGCAGGGGCCTCGGCTTACGGGATTTTTTTGGATGGAAGTTGCAGTTACTTTTCCAGCATGCAGCATGATCCTTGTTGATTGCAAGTTTGATCACCATGCTTATGTTTTGGACATGGTGTGGGTTCAAGCGGTGGCTGGAGTTGCCAGCTGAGTGGAAAAAATTTTGACCCACCCACCCAACCCATCATTTGTCCAATTCGGTCTGTGTTCGACCGGGGGATGTGGACAGAGGCTGCAGTTGCCTCCTACGAGAGCTGGGGTCGCTCATACAGTCCTTTAGTCCTACCCGGTGAGCTTGCCCCCGTCCATCAAAAAAGAAGGGAGTGTGGTCCGTGCAAGTGTGAGTACATGGAATATGAAAAATTTTACTTAATACATACTTTGATTGTGACCTTCAAGGTATACACTCTGTGGATCAAGATAACCCCGTCGTGAAATTTCGATGGCATAGATTTTTGTACATAGCCTCGCTGATCGAGTCTGAAGTTAACCCGCCATAAAACAAACCAGGCAAACGTGATTGATCAGATTCAACACAACTTGAATCTATACCTCGTCTTTCTGATGAATTGATTGATTCAGACCGAAATGAGTTTGGACCTTGTTTATTATCCCCGAGGCGTAGTAGCTTCGAACTCTTGCCGCTTCAATCGAAAAGGAAACTCTTAGCTAAGAAGGGGAGCATCAACGTATTGATACATTTTTTTAAGCTTCAAGAAGAGAGCCATGCGAGCGTTTCCCCTTTTGGATTGTTTCGCAAACGGAGTTTTGGGGAAAAACCTGTTTTCATGCATGCGTGTTTCAACACATGTTACATAAGATTTCAACCGGTTTCCATGAAATCTAATTCCGTGCATTCCGCAGAAAGTTTCTCACTCAAGGCGAGATGGCAAGAAATTGTTCCCGCCCACCCACCCCGTGGTCATGAGCAGGAACGGACACAATCGAGTTCGCACCATGACCGTGAAAAAGAGCCACGAGCGAAAGTTGCGCCTTCAAAATTTTATATTCGATCGAATTTTTTGGGAAACTATTTAGTAACAATTTTCCTTAGTTTTGTACTCAAGTTGATATGTATTTTGATTCAAAACAACCTGGTTCAAACTAAAACGAAATTGGAATTTTTGTATTATCCCCGATATTTCGTATCTTCGAATTCCTGCCTTTCCAATCAAAAGGGAATCTGCTAGCTAAGAAAGCGCATGCAAAATGTAGAACAAGGCATCCGTCGCTTCTTTGCCAGTTTCCGCTAATGCATCTGGCCTTCATCTATGGCTCCGCACCCTTTTAGGGCAGACGATGCTTGCGTCCATGGCTGTCAATCACAGGATACTGCTCCCTCCACAAAACTCTGAAAGGATGAACCCAATCCCGGAACCTTGTGTTATTCTCGTAGCGCGAACCTTTTGAGAGCCTGGACTCGCCAATCCCCTGCCTACCAACTGCCCATCGCCTCCCCCAGGGGCCTCCCGACATGTTGGCAAGCTGCCCATGCGGTCAATATTTGAAGAAACTGGAGAGAAGCGGAGCTGCTTCGCAATGTGCCGGCGCGCACATTTTGCATGGATTAGTATGGGCTCTTATGATGACGAGGACCCCTAAACCTTAAACCGTAACTTTGGGACTCGTCCAAATTGGGTGAGCTTCCAAACATTTTTAGCTTCCCATTTGCATGAAAGAAACCCAACATTCAGGCGGATGAAGGTTCTGGAAAACATCTGGGGCTGTGCCCTGAGCCTTGCTAGACCAGTTAGGATTTGATTGCCCCAACCATCCTCGATTGATCACTACTTGGTCTGACGCTGAAAGATGGTCCCGGGTTGCATTGACAGGTGGAGGCCCAGATTTGCCATCCAATGAATTCCTGGCATTCTATATGTTAAGCCGCTGTCCGACACGGGTTCCAAGATCAAAATGAGTTCCAAGCAGTGATCGAAGTGCTCGCTGAGGCGCCATTGCAAAGCGGCCTTGTTGACTTCAACCTGCCACAGGTCTGCAGTGCTTGCAAGGCTGCAGTTTCAATATAGTGTCTACAAATTTGCAGGCGGCATGCTCGTAAGCCAGAGCAGCTGTGAATTCTGTCTGACTAGATTTTGCACTTGAAACACAACATCCTCAACCCTGCTCCTTAAAGCATCAACACCACCATTAAGTTTTCGGTTGGACATTGCTGCATACATGCTTGCCTAAGCCTGAATCCTGAACCCTCAGCAGCCATCAACCAATAACCGTTTGTCAACAACCCTTGCCTTACCCGAACTTTCAAAGCCCAAACACCCTGAACCGCAAGCCCTTTGAAGCCAAATACCGACCATGTGTTGCGGCTTGGGAGCCCCAGGATCAAGTTCTTGATTAGTATTGGTTAGTTCCTTCAATTATATTGGGGATGGGTTTGTCCCCACGCTTTCATGCCTGTGCTGAGATGTGCCAAAGAAATCTGTGGTGAACCCATGGCAGCTAAATTGTGGGCAACTCGCTAGATATCACTAGCAATGGAGGCCTGGCAGCGTGGAAAATGGCAAGAGCCTCAGGATAGATATCTCAGCACGGACGTGCAACTCCTGAGACAGCTGTTGGAGCTGCCTGATACTTGAGGTAATGAGCGCTTGCCAGGGCACAAATTTGCACGCGCTATCCTGGGTGGAAGTGTTCCGTTACTTCGTGCAGAGCTGCCACAACAAAAGGACAAGCAAATTGAGTGTGGCGAAGGTGTCAAAGTACAGTAGTGCGCTCAGCTCACGATGTTATGCCATGTTGACAGGTGAAGCTAACGTCAACTCGTGCTTGCAAGGCCCACCAGCCTCCTCCTAGCGCACGCGACCAGCATCTTGCGTAGCAGCCTTTTGAAGCCATGGGGTCACGACAGCGACGTGCGCTGCCTGCTTTGTTGGGGATTGCTGCGCTGCTAAGGTGGCACACCAGGCAGGAGGACGCGTTCGTGGCACAGCGGCAGCAATCGAGTGCCAAGCAGGCCCTCGGCCCTCAATTTGCAGAGATGACAGCATTGACAGAAATGGAAGCAGAAGCTCAAACACGGAGGAAAATGCTCATAGGCTTGGCCAACTTGGCCACAGTTGGAGCATCGGAACGGGCCTTTGCTGCAGATTCCAAGACAGTCTTGGTTGCCGGTGCAACTGGCCAGACCGGAAGGCGAATCGTCGAGAAGTTATCAAAAATGGCTGATGTATCTGTGGTCGGTGGTGTCCGAGATACAGCCAAAGCTGAGAAAGAGTTGAGCAAATCTTCGATTGCCATCCGAGGCGCGATGATAGACGAAGTCAAAGCGGTTGACACAAAGGGAGTCGCGTTAAAGCCGTTGGATGTCACCAAGGATTCTGTAGACAAGCTGTCTCAAACTCTGACTGGATGCAATGCCCTCATCATTGCGACAGGTTTCGTCCCTTCCAACCCATTTGCAATGGGGGCCGATGCGCATGCTGTCGACAATTTGGGAACAAAGGCTCTGGTAGATGCCGCGAAGAAGTCTGGAGTTACCAAGGTTGTGTTGGTCTCCTCCATCTTGACAAACGCCCGAGCATGGGGTCAAGAAAACAGCCCTGGTTTCCAGGTGACGAATGCTTTCGGCAACGTGTTGGATGAAAAGCTTGAAGCGGAGAACTATTTGCGTGCCTCAGGCATTGACTACACAATCGTCCGGCCAGGGGGCTTGAAGTCCACAGCACCTGAGACCAATTTGTTTCTGGGATTGCACGGGCAGCTGAATTGAAAGGTTTGTGTGAGAAAAACGCCTTGTTGGATTCAAACGAGGTCCCTACGCTTCAGATTAGTTATGTCAGTTATGTCCCTGCTTTGTAACAACTCAGGCTGGTGTCCAAGGAGGACACTTTAAACAGTGGAGAAGTCTCGCGTGATTTAGTTGCGGATGTCAGCATTGCGGCAGTCTTTGACGGCAAGGCATCCAATAAAGTTGTGGAAATCATCGAAGATGACAAAGTCAAGCCGCTGTCCAAAAGTGAGTGGTTTGTTCTTTAGGCGTTTAGGCCTGCGTCTGCAGCCTGTTCCTGGAGCATGTCACGGCCAGGGCTTGCAATTCTTCGTCAAATTGATATGCAGTTGCTCAGTTCCTATCTCAGCCATACCAGCACGCTCACAGAGGCCAACAAAAAGTTGCAATCGTGTGGAATGCTGTGTTGATCTTTAGCTGAGAGCTCTAGACATTGACACAGCCGGTGTGATTGGCTCGAGCATGTACAGTAGTAAGTCAAGTAGTGAAGCTCCGTGCACAATCATGACAAGGCCCATGATATCATGTGGAACGTGCAACTCACATATGTTGTGCTGAGCATAGCACACCGTACAGATCTAAAGTCTTCAAGCTCGTGACACTGGTCATCCTAACCCAAGCTCGCTGGTGCATGCTTTCTTGCTTTGCTTGTCAAATGGAGCTGCCGATACCAGCACGCTGTAGTAAGTTCAGGCCCCCGCCTTCATCCTGGATAGTGGTGAACTGATAGAAGTCGAAGCTTTGACTGCAGCATCCAGGGACGGGAGATTCCCGAACAGTAGTTTGATTCTTTATGAGGGTTGGCATGGTAGCGCTTGTGTTTCATCTTATAGTTGTCGGAATCATTTTTCACATCCCTTTTGGCCAGCTGGTTTTCGCATGGCTTTCCAACAGCTTTGTGTCTGGAAGATTCACCGCAGCTTTCTATAGCTTGAAAGATCCACAAAGTGCTGCCTCGCATGGGTTCTTCTTGCGTCAGGTGCCAAACACAGTAGTTGCACTCAGGGTGTGATTATTGGCCCACGGCAGGACAAACGCGAGTGGTCGGCTGTCTTGCAGAAACCATCTTTACAAACCGAAGGGAGGAGCACAAAAAGTTCCCAACGTGAAGGATTAGGCATCAGTTTGCACGTCTTCAATTTTTGAATGTGCATGCTGTGAGGCGTGCGCTGGCTGTTCAAGCCCTGCTTTTGATAGTGCTCGCCGGGGCCTTCCAGCTTGGAGTCTTTCGAAGTGGAGGGTCGTTTTCCTATGTACCCCGATACCACAGCATACCATAGTCCTTTCTGTAGCTATGACCCCCGTATTGGTTGGATTGGAATCCCCCGGAAGTCCACGATATTGCAAGCTTCCATGGTAACTCTTTTTCAAGCCCCTTGAAACATCATACTTATAGCCCGACTTATCATTCCCTAGTTCAACTTATATGGGTTACTCTAAGTATCAGTGCAACCATGGTACGGTTTATAAGTACACGGGCTACTATAAACAAATCCTTCAAGTAACACGGGATTCGCGCAGAACTAGGACATTTCTTTGAATGCATGATGCACGCAAGGATGGTTGTTATGAAGCTCCCTGTTCTGCTCTGTCTTGGTACCTGACAAGATGCTTTGGGTTCTGCAAGAGTTAAATCATCTCTCATGTAACGTCACAGTCTAAGGAAAAGTAATTCAGAGGTTTGGGATGTAGAGGCTTGCGCCATGGGTGATTTCACTCCAGCTCGAAGATCAGAAGAACCTTGGGAAGTACCCTCAACGTTCTAGTGGCCAGTCCCCTTTTCTTTGACGAGCCCTCTAAGGCGAGGATTACGACGCAGAATGTCCGAACTATATCCCGGCAAACAGGAATGGCAAAGCCTGTGTATTCTGCGCCTGTTCTTTGGGTGGCACCTCAAGAGCAGGGAAAGCCTCGAAACGAGGAAGCCTGAAACCGTCTTAGCCCAATAGCCTCTGATCATTTCTGCACACTGCTCACCCTTGCAGGACACTCATTTAGGGATTGTGGTTTTCTCATGGTGAATCCGGAATTCTTCATTGTCACCCATATTGAAAAAACCATGATACCATGCATTTGGGGTGGTTCAAAAAACAGCGATGCTTTCTGGTGGTTACTCTGCCCCCAACAAAGGACACCCAACACCAAACAGAAACAGACCCCAAACTACCATGGGATCCCTTGGTCCCTTCCCTCCCCCTTTTCCCTGAGCCCTAAACCCCAAACCCTACAGTAAACCCTAAAGTTTACCTAAGGCAAATGAAATGTGGGTAGACTTCAGGCCTTCAGGCCCTGGGCTTTTGCAAGTGGTCGCCGTGGAGTGCCTCTTTGCAGCAGAGGAACGCAATGTCATTCAGATCATGAAGCTATGTAGTGAAGGGGTAAGAGCGGGCCTTAGGACCCTTTAATGGGCAAAATAGGGATATGGAACGTAGGGCTTACGGTTCAGGGATTTGGGTTTCTCCAAAATGTTGGGTACCCTGAGAATCCCCAGGAACGTATGGCGATAACAAAGGAGGTTATGGGCACCTTGTTTGGGCATCATGTAGGGATGATTTGAGAAACTCTCACAGAAGGTTTTGGGGGTATATAGATTTAGATAATTAGATATATGCAGGCATAACGTTCGCAGAGTCTTGCTCTAAATGAGCACTATATGGGGGTAACCGTAAGCGAGGGTGAGCAACAGCAGCAGGATTAGCAGCAGAGTGCGTTTCAAGTCATCGGGCCCTGAGAGGATCCTGGCATGTTTGTCTGAGATGCCTTAGGAGGCAATGCGACATACACTGTTCCAAGCCGTTGATGACTTGTTTGCTATTGCCTTGAGTGATGTGTATAACAATCTTTCCATAATGCACGCATGAGGACTGTGTTGCATGCGGCTGCATCTTTGCAAACCAGTCTTCGTTGCGGGGCGTGGCTAGCTCATGCCTTCAGGCTCGCCAGGTTGGTGCCGCCGGCGTTGGCGGCTGAGGTTCGCTTGGTCAGCGGGGAAGTGCTAGCAAAGGTAGGTAAGGCAAACAGAACGATATGACATTGTACTAGTGCTTATGGGAGCTGACATGTCGCGACAGCTAGCCTCTGTGCCTTGCTGAGTTTTTTTACCAGGCGGTAGCTTGCAAAAGTGCTGTGCGGTGTGCGGTGGGCCCCCCGACAGGTGCGGGCGTTCAGGAATTGGGCAGGGCATGGCAGCCTCCTTGTTTCATGCCGAAGCAAAAAAAACTTGTACGACGTCTCAAGAGGAAGAAAACACGCATTTGGAGCCAAAAATGCAAAGCCTCTGCAATTGCAGGGGCCTAGGGCATGTTTTGCTGAACAAGTTGAAGTCAGTGCACCGGAGCTCGCTTTCGTTCCAGTCCCCAGCCCTGAAGTTAGCACTTCCAGCACCCATTGGTGGGTCAACTGGAGTACGGACGCTTTTTTTTTCCATGCGCATCAGGCGAGTAGATCGGATGGCTTCAGCTACACTATGTTGTCCCCAGGCTTGGCCCGTTTTCAGCAAGTTCAGATGCTTCTGAAAGAGTCGTGTGGGCTTGGAAGGATCTGAGGGCACCACGCCGCGTGATGGCCCAGCTTCCTGGCTGCACGGCCAGGAGCCTGCCGTTTCATGACTGTTGAGGGCTCTAATGTCATCTTACGTCGGTGTGGGTTGCGGACGCATGCGGACGCAATATTGCAGAGATCGCCCTTTTCCCCTCGCTCTTGCTCTGTCTCCCTCTCTCTCTTGCCGCTGTCTCTCTTCCCCTACGGCCATGTCTCTCTTCCTTTCTCCCTTTATCGCTCTCCTGTTCTCTACCTCTCTCTGTGGGTGTTTAGGTCTCTCCCGCTCTCTCTTTCTCTCTGTCTGTACGTCCTTCTCTGTCTCGCTCTTTCTCTCTTTGTCTCTCTCTCTCTCTCGCTCCTGTCTGGGCTTCTCCGGATTCAGCGAGGAAAGTCTTTCCTAGCGGGCAAAAGCCTGGACCAGTGAACCTGCGGGAGGCGTGCAAATTCTTTCGGATGTTAGGTTCGGGCGTACGCCAAAGTGTGGCTGAGGCACGGGGCTCGGTCCTGCCAGAGTTCAAGAATGTTTTCAGGACATGTAGATGTAGCTTGCAATGTTTGGCAAACTGCAATGTTGCCTGCTCTTTTCCCCCTCCTTCGCATAAGGTTCACCGGACACGTGGATGGTTTCGACGGGCCAGTCTTTGACTCCTCAGCGCTGCGCGGTGCGCGGCGCCCTGTCAAAAAGGCTTGGTCCGCTTTGCTGTTTGCAGTCACGTCAAGCGCGGGGCAGCTTAGCTACAGAAGTTCCTTAGGCCCCAGGGCTGCTCTGCTGTTCGCCTTGACAGGACTACGTGGAGATCGAGTGCAACACAGATGATACGTTTGCTGCGGGGATGTGGGAGGCGCCTCAGCGCAACTGCATGCATGCAGGTCATGAACAGCATGCAATCTCAATTTTTGGATGCGTATGGTCAGCTACAGTGGCATCCGAAGCTTTTTGTTGTTGCTGCGGTGGCCTGCGCGTCAGTCTTTCCAAGCTAACCGTGCTGGGACTAGATCAGAAGCTGTTATGTCACATTCGCAAGGCTCTGCGCCTGATGAAGGTGGGCGAAAAGGTGCGATCAACGCTGTGTGAGCGTCATCTTTCAAATCGTCGACTTGATAGCATCACCCTAAGATGCTGAAGCCTAGTCAACATTCTCCAGCCCTAGACCAGAAAGATGCGGGAAAAGTGCGACTAGAGCACACGACATTGTAACATCTGCTGTCTGCAGCATAGCAGCTGCCAGTATTCTTCTTTCGTACAAGCCGGCAGGGACGTTTCGTCCAGCCCCCTGCGCTGAGCTTCGGAGAGGGCAAAGCATCCTTTCAAGGACATGTTGCCGCACGTTTCTTGCAGCTGGACCGCACGCGAACATGCTGTGAAGCAAACACTACATTTTTCGTCAATTTGCCTGACGTCAGAACACCACAGCAAGTTGTTCAAGCAATCTCTTGAAACTCGACCGTACCTAGCCCGCTTCCTACTAAAAACGGCTGCCGTGAATGTGGCTTTACTGAGAACCGCCGGGGCAGTCCAAAGATTCTCTACCTGAGTGGTTGTGAGAGCCATTAAGGATTCATGTTTTCTCCTCTTTTCCTTGACAGGAGATGAGGATTCCGATGTGAAGACAGTGCCTGCAGGTACCACGCTGTACTATGATGTTGAGCTGGTGAAAATAATTCGGCCTTGAAAGCCTGACTGCAAGGCCGGAGTTGACTCCTCCTCCTTGCTTCTTTTCGCTTCTCGTTGTCTCAAAGCAGACACAGCTGATTATACTTTGTGTTGAGATAGCCGTGGCATCAAAAGCTTATATGAGAGATCATGCAAGCGGACAGGAAGCAGCCTAGGCGTGCATCTGCATCAAGGGACGTGGTTAGAACCTGAAGTATTACTGATTGGAGATCTTCCTTGCAGCCATACGGAGCTGCTTTTTGTCTGTGAGGGGACTGGGGCCTTCCCCTGTAGGTAGAGGGGTTGCTGAAGTGATGCTGTTTCTTGAATCGCCTTCAGTCCTGCATGTTGTAGGAGTCTGAATATGTCACAGTTCAGGCCTCTCGTGAGCTTTCCTGAAGTCATGCCTCACGCCCATAAAAATCAAAGCTTCCTCATCAGCGGCAACATTGATGGATCAGTTCTTGATCTTTAGCTGAAGACCTTTGCACGGAATTCGGCTTCAACCATTCAGGCACTCTGCAGCCTGCCAAACCAGTCCATCTTAGCTGCCATGCTTGCAAGAGCCATTCATAGTGGTCGTTGCATGGAAGACTGACCCGCTTCCCAAAACGGAACCATGTTACGAGGTTTAGCTTTGAGTCTCAAGCTGGCGAAGAAACCGAGCTTGTAGATGATGACGAATTTTTTCATTGTTAACACCCACTCATGATCTGACAGGAGCGTCCTGGTCGGGTGTACAAGTTCAGCTCAATCATATTTCATCTTCAACCCGAACTGGCCCATTCTTCAACAGTCAAATATGGTATTCGAAAGCGACCAGATTTGAAAGTGTTTTTGGTCCTCCATGATGGCGATGATGCTCGCCAGATGCTTGGCGCGCATCATTCAAATGCAACGAAAATCCCGGGACCCGAAGGCGAGTGAAGGTGGTTGTTGAAGTGCGTCCGGAAATGGGGGCAGCAGGGCAGAGGAATGTGAATAATTGAGTTTGAGCGAGTTCTCATTGGGTGTCTGATTCTTTTAGGTTAGTCTAGGTTGATGCGGTGAATCTGGACACGAATGCATTTGTGATCCTACGTTTTTGCACTTATCGTGGGCCTGCCAAAGCCTGGAGTACCGTCTATGAGATGTAAATGCAAAGGCAGAGATGTGCTTTCTAGCATTCGTGCAGCTGGCTGGCAGTAACAGACGCTGCGTTCGATGGTTCAATGACCTACCATGTGGCATCAACGTCTTCTGCCATGCTTGTTGACTTCGGCAGAGAGCGTGCAGAATTTGCAGCCGATCACCAGCCGAAACTACAGCGTTTTCGTTCTAGCCTTGAGCAGGGAAGCAATCCTGGGCAGCAGAGACGGGGTAGGTTGATCTAAAGAAACCCTGATGCCTGACGCTCTCACGGTTGTGTTTGTTGTTGCCGAGGAGCAGGCCGTATGGAGCGCGAAGCCCAGATCGCAGCCAAGCGCACTTGGATGATTTCTCCACAGCACAATTGCCACCCATGATTGTTCCATACATGATCCTGGCAGCTCACTGTTGGTCACCACGCATTTTCATGCGTTCTTATGAGCTAGTCACCAAAGCTCCTTGGAGGGAGCTTTGTTTTCTACTTCACGGAGTGAGCTTGCGGATCCTGGGGGGGGATGGGGGTGGGGGGGGATGGGGGTGGGGGGGGCAGAGCAAAAGTGGGTTTATTTCGAAGCTATTTCCTAGGAATCACATATAGGATCTTGTAGGCCTTACAACTCCACTCTCTCCTCATTCAACAATTCACGCTTTCACCCCCTTTCAGTCACTCCAGCCACTCCCCTATTTTATCTCTAAATCCCAAACCCTACTCCTATCTTTATTCTCTCGCACCCTTACCCTTACAATCAACCCTCTCTCGTCCCAGTCAACTGTCTCGTTGACATTTTCTAAATGTACTCCAGGTAGAGGTCCTGGAAGTCCTGGCTGAGAGAGTAGAAGTTGGTGAATGTTGGTGAGTTTGTCCATGTTCGCTCAGCATTTACACACTCGCCCTAGTACTCACTGACCCACCACACTGCCTCGCTCTTCACTCTCTCCACCCTACTACTCACATTACGTTGGAGTTGTTTATTCAATTCGTCATGTGAACATTACTCTTGCCATTCTTGTTATTGTATCTTCTTGTTATCATTATTCTTGCTGTTTCTATTCTTCTTGTACGTATTCTTTTGTGTACATTTGTGTTGCTTCTATTCTTGCTGTTTTTTGTTGTGATGAATCTGTCGGTTATTATTTAACTACCCGAGAATATCTAAATATCCACTCAATGAATTTAATCGTTTCGATTTCATCAAAATGAGGGGGTGCCATTTGGGGCATGTGCACGATGACACCATCCTCACTCTGCTCAATCTGCACACTCTTGATGTGAATCTCATCCCTGAAACACAGAAACAAGTAGTGAGACTGAAAGATCCAATTCTCCACCATCACCATCATCATCATCATCATCCTTCCTCTCCTTTTCTGAAGATGAATGGTAGCAGGGGGCTTTGAACGAATCCACGTATTTTCAGATGTGCATTCCATTGCATTCCTGTCATGTAGTTTTGCTTGAACTGACCCCATTGAACTGAACCAGCTGCAAGTTTATTCCTCCAAAACAGTCCATTTTTTTGTTGAGGAATGTGCCTCAGTACATTGGTTTCTCAACTAAACAGTATCATTTGGAACCAGGAAGAATAGAAAGTACTCCTTGGACAGAGAGCGAAAACCCAGCAGTGTATTACTTGAAAGAGTATCTTCTTTTAATAACGAATGTCGTGATTCCTATTTGTACGTGTGTTTCATTTTATATATTGGAACCTTTCAAGTCAATTTCGCAATAAGCGATGCGTCGTTCGGGACTGGAGCGGTGATATTGTTCTAACTGGTGCTAGAATGGTCTTCCTCTAAGTATCAGTTCAGAGTCTTGGCATAGCTGGCATCACGCCTGCCGCCAAGCCAACTGCACAGTGTGATGAAGGCTTACAACTACATTATCCCCTGCCAGGCTGAGGGAGCTGGCTGGACAGCCCTGTCCTTTGACTATGATGGAAATTATCCCTTTTGGTGTTCAATATACTCACTCCTTTAACTTTGAAGGTATTAGTCGGGGATGGCGATGTAGGTGTAAGCTGCTCCTCAAGATGCACTCCCGCGATGCAGCATGGCATCGCGCAGCGAAGGGGTGTAATGCTTCCGTTAGGGTACTTGCATTTGGCTTTGCCAAGCTCTCATTCAAAAAAATATCAGCTCAGAGTGTCATAGATTTAGTAGGTGCCAACGAGAAAGTTGAAGTTAAGGTCTCTGAGCCTAAATGAACTATTGCTAAATTGATTTCTACCATGTTTTACTTTGAATAAATGGTGCTCTGGCTGTCATTACTTGCCATCATACTTTCCATTTAGTACATGCCACGTTGTTCTTCTACGCTTCGAAAATTCAATTTAGATACCGATCATGGGCTAAGAGAAAGAAGAATGTCAAAAGACAACAATAAGCTAAATAGAATCCCATATTCTACCTACTTCAGGGGAAATAGTAGTTTCCATTTTCTTTTCCATTATCCCTATATAAACCCAATATAAATGGAGTATACACACCAGTTACGCTTTCAAAATTATTAGTTTGGCCTGACTCTGTGCTGCCTACTGAGGGTCTTTGAAAGTCTCAAAAAACATTGTGACATGTAGTATTTTGGGGGGTTATAATAGGGGATAATGGAAAAGAAAATGGAAACCCCTATGGTATGCAAACTATCCCGCACTTGAAAGCAGAGCATAGCGAATGCAAGAGCACCTTTCGGCTTGGATGTGGGCTGCCCTGCCCGATTTAGCCCGTGAGGTTAGGCATTGGACCCTCCCGAGCCATTGTCCTTCCTGGTCTTTCCTGGCATTGCTAGGGCTCTGCATATTCTGTTGCGGCATCTGCTGTGGCTGCTTGGTTGCTAGCCTCTTCTGGTCATTGACGTGCAGGCGGGCCTTAGTGCTGCTTCTTCATTGGGGCGCAGGCATTTTGGATCCACCTGGAGGCGGCGCACGCTTAGCTGTGCAGAGGCGTTTGCAGCAGTATCGGAACCGTGAATGAGCAATCCTGGATCGAGCAGTGAGCTGGACAGTTTGTGTATTCGAGTGGGCAGGCTACGCATCACTGTCGAGCAGGTTCGCGAGGGCCCTGCCCCGTCTGCTGGCTCCGAGGCTTCTTTCGAAGTGGTTGATCCTGAGGAGATTGAAGAACCCCTTGCTGGGGAGGGCTCCTCAACTCCTGCTGAGGTTGGGCTTTTGCAGCTGGGCGACCTTGAGCACCTCGCCCTGAACTTGAGCGATTCTGGCCTCTGGACTGGCAAGGCCCGCGTGGCTAGGGCATACCGGGCTGGGCTTTCAGCTGCTGAGGTGCTACGCGGCGACCGCGGAGCACCCGTCACCTCGCCTAAGCTCGAGCTCAAGAACAGGTATTACATTTGCCTGCGGAGTCAGGCCTACCCTGCCGGGTTCGTGACGCAGCATTATGAGGGGCTGCCCCAAGGACAGTCAGGGTCGCTTGGAAAGCGGCTCTATCAGCCGCGCCTTTGCAAACAAGTCTGAGGCCTTCGCCTTCTTGGCTGGGGCTTCGCGGCCATGGCCGCAGGCACTGTGACCGAGGGAGATTCGAGGTCTCCTCGACAGATGGCGCTCCTCCGGGGCGTCCGCTGGCATGCTCTACCTGCTCGACGACTTCGAGTCTCCAACTTGTCGAGTGGTGGCTTTTCTCCTTCGCTACCGGCAGGGGGGTTTTATGGCTATACAGCCTTCGAGGCCGAAGGAACGGCGGCTCCTCCAGTTTACACGGTGCCCTGCAAGACGCCCAGGCGACGAGCCGTGGGAGAAGTGGATGTGTATTTGGTGGATTTCCTTGGCTACTTCCGCAGAGCTGCAACCGGCCGGAGCCCACTGACTTCTGTTCCCTTGCTTGCTGGCGAGACGGTGGTCAGACCAATACTGGCTGTGGGCGACGACCCGGGCCTTCAGG